AGAAGTGTTACCACACAAGGGTAATCGAGCCCAGAAATACGAAGACGTTGGCGTTCCAGCGGCCTTTTCACTGTACAGGGAAAATTTTTGTATTGTTCAAGAAAAGAGTGCTATCTAAACAAGCTTTGAAATCTGAATAAATGTCATAGCCACCTTCCAGTTTGAGAGGGTGACTATGGGGTTATTGAGACCACCTACATGAACTCACAAAGGAGCGTAAATATCCTCTGTGATGGTTCCTTTTCTTCCCTGAGTGTCAGACCTTCTAATTCAGCTCTGAACATGGCAGAGGCACCGGGCTAGAATTGTGGGTAGAGTATGAATTGCCTAAGTGTGAATATTGACCTGCAAATGTTGATGGTATTTTACCTAACATAAAAATCCTATTAAGACAGGAGAATTTATTTCATTGAAAACATAACACTGGGTGGGTGCTAAAACAAGCAAAATAAACAAGCAAACAAAAAACCCTCACCTCCCCCTCCCAAACACCAGGTGTTAACATGTAGAACTTATTTTTTAGGAGATCCAAAGTTGAAATTTTCAATTTCTGTTTCAGAAAATACTTTAGACATATTTTATAGTTTCACAAATAACTAGCCTTTAAGGCATTTTTGTACTGTAGAAAAATCAGTGACCTGTTTGTGCAATGTTTCCTTTCCCCTCAGTGAGTGTGAGGTATAGCCTGACTTCCCCCTTTCTCCTTCCCTCTTTAAAATCTCTGCACAGACAACAGAACATGGCCATTTCCTAACAGTTAGAGATAACTTTGTAGTTCCTGGAAAGTTTCAGAAGCATGAGACTGCTTCTGAGCCATCAGGGAATACTCAATGTGCTTTCCTAAGGTGCAAATGTTGATGAAAGAAAAGTAAAGCAAGGATTGGAGTCATGGTCATCAGTAGAGTCTGGAGAGCATGCTCAACCCTTTACTGCTAGAAACATTATCCTTTGAGAAGTTCATGCTTGAGAACTTTGCAGGTCACTTGAAACAGGTAAAAATTAAGTAAAATTTCATAAGGTTTTAAGTCTGTTCAAGACTTCGAGTTTGTCCTCATTCATAGCTGGAATACATGCGCCCTCTGTGTGAGGCTTCCTTCCCACTGCCCTCCCTGAAGATCTAGCCTCTAACTAAGTCTCCTGATTCTCTTCTGAAAAGTCTTTCTGGTGTGCTGCACACTTGGAGGAGAGGAACTTTTAAAGCATTCTTGAGGAATAAGGAGGAGCTTGCTTAACTGAAAAAACAGACAGTTCTTTAGTAGGACCCCACACTTTAAGACAGGGAAGACTCAGATGTGAACTAACATGAATGGAGATGGAGGACGCGATTATTTCAGTGTTATTAGAACATTTAGTGAAAGCAAAGGAATGTTGTCTTGGGTGGTCTTTTATTTCCTACTTTGGTTTTTATGATTACAACAATGTGGTGGGCTGGTAACAAAGACAAGGCAATGTAGGTGGCCTTAGGATGGGAGCCGAGATGAAGACAGTCAGCATCAGTGGTAGTAGTGATGAGAAGGCAGCTGAAGACCTCGAGAGAGTGACCAGGGCAGAGACCACCCGGAATGGAGACCTTCGAAACTCAGAGGGCATGCCCAGCTGTGAGAAGCTACAAGCTCTGGTTGGGAAAGGAGCTCCAGAAAGCTGTCAAGACTTTCTAGTCCAAGGCTCTCAGATGTCTTGACTCCAAGAACGGGAGCAGTGCCCACTAGAACCTTACCACTTGCAGTGTAGACTTGAGTGGGCTGAGGGTCTCTGAGCATCCAAGGTCTCTTTGAGAGTCGTGACAGGAGCAGCTGCTGTCTGCTCTTGGTTGCTGCTGCCTGCTGCAGCTTCTCCCTGCTGTTAGAAACCGAGAATTACAATGGCTGCCACATGCTGGGACTGCCCTCTGATCAGTGCCAGACTGTAAGCCTCCAACAGGAGTATCAGCAGCCATTAGTCTATGACTTTAAAGGTCCAGAACAAAAGGTTCCTAACTCATAGATTAGCACTGTGAACCCATGAATCTACCAGGACAACACTTAGACCTTGGGCATTGTAAGGCCTAGGGTTGCTGGTAGTTATCACCTACCCACTATTCCTATTTAGATGGAGTGAAAGGGCCACATGCTCAATTGGTAACAAAATTAGAATTATGTTTAACCTTTTACTGAAGCTTCAAATGTGTGGAGAAGACAGGTCAAGAGGCTGGGAGCTGACTCTTAGTTTGGGAGATGTGTCAAGGGTCTGCCCAATATCAAGGAGATTCTAGAATAACAGCAAAGATTGTATGAAAGACAGAAATCTGTAATTTGGAAATACAGTATCAATACTGAAGACTCTGGTAACAGAGGTAGTCACAACGGCCATGAAATCCGAGTTTGAAGCAGATTACTTTAGAAATAAAAGTCGAGTAGAGGTCATGAATTTTATGATGAAGTTATTGATTGCAGTCTCTGAGTATTGATTACCATCATTAATTATGATAGTATTTTGGGATGATGAAAAATGGATCTTGAGGAAATGGTCTAAAAGAAGATAGATGAGTCTTGGTATTCAGGGTGATGTGGCTTTGAAATGAACCTCGATTAAAATGGATTTATTTTCATGAAGGTGAAAAGATAAAACTCCAATGGCCACGGAAGGATCGCACTGAACCTTTGCATACACCACTCTAGACCTAAGTGTGTGGAGAAAAGTCTAAAGAAGTCTTAGAAATGAGAAGAATTTGGTGATTCTACAGGGTGGAAAAGGCTGAGAAAGGCTCCCATAGTGTGTGACTAAGTAGAGAGAGTGACCCAAATGGGAAAATACACTGCAGGGTGAATACTATGTAGAGAGATAGAATTAATCGTTTGAGGAAGCTGCTTATTTGGGCATTTAGAACAATAACCAGAGAGACATCATGGGAACTGGGGCCGTCATACTTGTAGGCTTTTAACTGAGTGTACTTTCTTGTTTCTGGAAAATATCACTGTGCCCTGCCTGATTTAATACACTTTTCTTTGAGGGAAGTCAGCATGCACACTTCTAGGGATGCTAGGCTTGTGTTCCTCGCTGCTGAGTTCAGAATAGCAAATGGATGAAATAAATTGCATTTATGCATCTGGTTTTGTGGGTTTGGTTAATATTTGACTAATAAATTCTAATGTTGATATACATGCATATTTTAAAAATGTTATTGTTTCATTTTTAAAAATTATTCTACAACATTTAGAATTCATATATCACAAGTTTTGCTTATTTGAATCATTCTCAATGAATTAATTTCTATTGTTACATATTAAACCAGTATCATCTTAGCACTTTGGTAACTGTAATATAAATTAAGCAGTTTGAGTTTGTTAACTAGATGCACTTTTCAACAATATATAAAAATAAGGTTGTTTTTCAGGGGATGCCTGACAGTATTAACTGAAATTTTGCAGAAATTCAATAAAGTTTAGTGTGAATATTTTATATATTATGTAGTACATTCATGCATTTGTTATGAATACATTTGGTGTTTATGAAATACATTTTTTAGCTGTTTGACTTAGTGGACAGGACGATAAAGCTCAAGCAATCTTGATAATAACCCCGGTCCTTAAAGCTCTGGAACATCAAAGACTAAAATTACCTTACCTAGTCTTCCCTGCCTCTGAGATGGGGATGTTGGCTTCAGCAGTGTGTTTGGAAAGACCGGAATAGCCAATTTTACCTTCCGGTATTTCTTTATATTGAATAAAAAAATCCATCTGTAGCTCTAATCCATTGCTGCAATTCCATATCCTAGAATTTGAAAAGTTGAAAATTTCTTAAAACTGAATTTCACTGTGCGTTCAATTTCTATTATTTTTCCAGCAACCTTGGCTGTGAAATAATTTTTCCCCAAACATTTCTCCGAGGACAACTGAACAGGAACAATGGAATAGCCAGACAAGGTCAACTGAAAGTCCCTTGACCAAAATCAGTGATCAGATTCAGGACTATGTCTGCTTTCCTCTGACACCTGTACTGAAGTCTGAACGGAGGTCTGTCCATGGTAGACATGAGCTCCTAGGAATTCAGCAGGGGACCTGAGAATGGAGCAGCTTTGGCTCACCCTCAGTCCCACACTCTCTAGCTGGAAGTCTCTGGGTTCCCTTCTCTATAGCTCTACATCATACATGTCCATCCTAAATGTGTAAAAGCAGTATTTGTAAAGGACCTTGTGTACTGTTGCCTTCAGAGAAGGGAAGGTGGATACCAATTAGGCTTTTTGCTTTATTGCTGTCTGGCTGTTCCTCCGGCATCTCCCATCCCAACCCTTCACTGCTGTCTACACTTCCAGCATAGTATTATCGTAACTCTACATGGTAAAATTTTGACTAGATGGGGTGATGTGGATGGCTGTTTGCAGTGCATTTTAGCTTTGAGGCTCTTAATGGTTAACATTTAGCACAGCAGCAAACAGATTTTCTTTGTTTTCAGTGCCTGTAGACTTCTTTGATCCTTGACTTGAGTAGGAAGGTAGACAATTTGCATCCCTAGTTCAAAAATACATGAAGAAGGTTCATTCATTCAATATTTCTGTTAAGCATCAAGGTAAAAAAAGGAAATGTTTAGACTAAAAACAGTTCTCTCTTTTTGTTTTTATTCTAAGGCAATGGGTGCTCTTTCTTTAGCTCCTAATTGTCTCATGTTTCAGTTGTTTTGACATGTTTGCAGATGTTAGGTGATAATATTTAGTAAAGAATACAAGAGAACTCTGGAGTTGACCATGAGCCTGGCTTCACATTGTATCCACAGAAACGATTCTGTAGTTGGATGTAAAGGCTTTTGTAACCTCTCTCCTGACTTTCAAAGGTCACCTTGGTGACTGGATAATCTTAACACAGTGGGTTTGTTTCTAGGGCCAAGTAGGACATGCTGTCACGCACCAATCATTTAGCTACTAAAGGAATGAATGTTATTGTTTGTCCTTGAATAGCGCCCTTGCATTCTTCCACCTCGAGCCAGTCAGCTGCTGGTCAGCTGATGTGACTCTTATGTGTTTGCCCGTGTCATTAGTCACTGACTTTAAATTCTCCTTCTGAACTGTTCACCAGTTGCTTCCAAAACAAACATGTTTTGGGGGCTTCTGTGGAGAGAAAGAGGAGATTTAAGAGAAGGTAGTGGCTAACTCCTCTGTTGTTTTGTCTTCCTTATTAACACTAACTACTGTAATAATGCATGGGATTATGATCTAGATATTAATCAAGATTTTATTCAAGGAAACTTTTGCAAAGCTCTAATGACCACCACGCATTCACACGCATGATCATGACTAGAAAATGCTTCTGAATTAAAGGGAGAAATTTTCTTCTAAGAGAATTCATTATCTTTCATTTCTCCTAAAAATCTGAATGTGAATCTCAATAGCATTAAATATTTCTGCTGCAGTCACTCTGGCTTCTGAGACAGTCCTTTACTTTGAGCTAGTTTTGACTTGTTAAGGACATCAGCACAGTTGCATTTCATAGCTAGATTCTTCTGTTTTTATCATGTTGCAGATAATAAAAAACCATGTATACACATGAATGGTGTATAATTGCATCATACTTTGTATTTAATTAGCTATGTAATTGTATATACCTCATAAACAACTTTAACAAGTGTATGTCACTTGCAAGTTTATTAAGATTTGTTTTCTTCATTAGTTAGAAAAGATCATATGTCCTAGCTAACACATTTTGTTCATAACTGAAAATTTTAAATCAAGTCATGAGAAAGGCTAGATACAGATGCATTACAAAATGCCAAAGAGTATTAAAATAGAATAATGGAAATATCAACTCTCTAAAATGTATGACCATTTAAACCACCTCATCATGGGCTCTAAAAGTATGAAATGAAAAATGTTGAGCATGATATGTGTCTATAATCCCAGTGCTTGGGAGGCTGAGGCAGGAGGATTGCCACCAATGAGAGACCAACTCGGTATATATAAGTTCAATTACAGAGTTAGGCTCTATCTAAAATAAAATAAATAAATAAACAAATAAATAAATAAATGGGAAAAATCTTTGATAAGACATTATATATTAACTTAGCTCTCCAGAACCATACATTCATACTTGAACCTTTTTTCTCAATGTTTTTCATTCTCTTTGTATTTGTGTTGAATTTGGAGTAACTGTAAGACAGGGAAATTTTCTTACTTTGTGGGCTTTTTTAAGCATAGGTTGTGCTTTTATTGGTTTTATATTTTTGGAATTATGAAACTAATTGTTTTTTAGATATATGAAAGTCTTGTTAAACTCTCTATGTTTTAGACAGAATTTTATACGGTCGGATACACCAACCCTTGTAAGGTGAAAGCTACTTGTAAGGTCAAACCAAACCAAAAAGAAAAAGTATCTTATTTTTATTTAGTTGCCTGGTTTTTTAAAAAATGTATTTGATAGACATAATATAAATTCTAAACTAGCCTTAATATTTTAATATGTCAGCACTTTAACATATTAATTTTAGGACAATTTCTTTTCTTTAAAAAATTAAAATCAAAGACATCTCTTAATGCAAATAAAAAGGCTTTTATTGGTCTACTTTTATATGACCAAATAAGGTAAATTAAAGAACTAAGAATCTGAAGTTCTGAATGAAAATCAGGAAATTTTTTATCTTTCATTTTTAGAATAAGTTTATAGTTGAGGGAAAAGGAGAAAAAAACAGAAAAAACTTCCTTATCTCATTCTCAGTATTATTTTCACTCAGTATTAGTAGCATTTTATCTCACTTGAGAATCAAAATATGGGGGATGTTGCTTTTAAGATCATTGTGCAAGTAACATTAATATGTAGACAAAGATGGATTGTGACAGACAATACCAATAATTCATCATATTTATATAAAATAAATGGAAAAGTTCAATAAGCCATCATATCTATAAATGAAATAAATTCAAAAGTGTATGTTTTAATAGCTATTATTGAAAATAGGAAGTTAAATGTAGTAGATGTTATGGTATTAAATATGCTTTAGTCAAATATGTAACTCTTACTCATCATGACATGATAACATGAGTACTTTGGTGAACTATATTTTAATAGTCATTTTAAATTCAAATGAGTTTAATTATTGTCCCAAGGAATATTTTGCATATGGAAATTGACACGTTTTTGCAAGGTTTTTTTTTTACTACATTAAGACAATTGTGTGAAAGTAATATGGTTATTATGATCTTGGAAGTGGTATAGTGAACAGAATGCCTGTTCAATCCTCTTCTATGTAAACCATGAGGTCAAGCAGTGCTCTCTGACCATGTGAGGAAACCTAAGAGTCTTAACTGGAGAGTTCATGTATTTCCATCTTCTCTGTTGTCTTTGCTCATAGCAAAGGGTTTCAGTAAGCTTTCGCTGTGCTGTCCAGCTGCAGACACCTGATTCTTTATAGAGACACCTGAAAGTTCATTTTATTGGCCTAGTGATCAGAAAAGCAAATCACTTTACATATATTAATCTCATTTTTCCAAGAGCGAATCAGCTGGGATTTTGTCTTTATTCATTTATATTAAATAGTATTTTCCCTGTTTAAGTAACAAATATTATAGTGTTAACTATTATTATTATTTTTCATTGCTAAATACTGTATTATATATTTTCAAAATGTTAATTAAATTAATAGTCATGATTTTGGGGTAGATACTATTGTGTCTTTTCTCTTTTTCAGGTTAGTGAATTGGAAAAAGAAGTAAAAATTTTATTACAAAGTTCATAGAATCAAGGAATATAGATGGTCATATTTTAATTATATTCCATGGTGCTTCTGAAACATTATTCTACTTTCAATGTCTTACTGAAATGTTGCTTTTGATTTTTAGTTAGTATTAGTGGAGTTTCTTGCATTTTTATAGAAATTTCAAATTTTTGTTTTCAAACACACATCTCTTTTATATACACTATTGTTCTAAGAGTACAGGGAAACATCACTCTGAGGATAAAAGAAAATGACTTTAGTATCTCAAAGGTGGTTGATTGAAATGAATTGATGATATTTTTTCCAAAAAAAAGCCTTCATTTTTGTAAATTTGAGTTCAGAGAGAAGACATAAGTGGAGACATTGCGGTTAGAACCCAGGCTTCCTGCTGATGATGATTGTATCAGCTCATGGAGCTAAATGATCTTTTCATGCCTAATGATGACTTTTAACCAAACTGCAGCGTTATAGAAAAAGTCCAGTAGGAATGACATCGAGGCCAGAGAAAACCGCATGGTAGAGCCCATCCAGACACAGAATTAGATCCCTTCCTGTTAACATGTGCTGTAGTGATTAAATGTTACTCTCTTTTTGATACTTCTAGGAGTCAAAGTTGGGATGCCCTGCTTTCCTATTGACCTACACAAGGATATCTGGGCGCCGTGAACGCAGAACAGTGCCTCCCTTGAGCTAGCTGGTGAGTTCCCTTGATGTCCAATAGTATTTTCGTCTGTCTGCTTTCCCTAGCTCATGACATTGGCTGAATTGGGACATTTTAACGAGAACAGATTGTGATTGCCATATTTAATATTGTGTCGCAACAGCTTATGATCATTGAGCAAGTTGGCTTCTGTTGGGTACACTTCCTGGCTTGTTTCATCATCTTCATCGTTAAGAGCACAGACTATAGCTTCTGTTGTCTGGTTTCAAGTCTTAGCTCTGATGCCTCCTGATTAAAATATGTTCAAGCTGTTCAAATACAGTCTTTTCATCTATAAAATGAGAATATTACCAGGTTTCTTCATATTGGCTGTTATGAAAAGCATTTAATTTATTTGCAGTACTTGGAGCAAATTTGACAGATCTTAGAAGTCAAACAAACTTAACCATTGTTGTGATTGTAGTAGTTATTCCTTAGCTAATATTTTCCATCAATTTTATTCTCTTTCTAATAAAGATTCCACAGAGTAGTGGCCAAAATTTAGGAGTGGCTGCCATTGGGCTAGACATGTTTTAATGGTATTAAATACCGTCCACAGCACAGGGTGATATCACTTAATGTTTTAAATGCCGTGCTTTTAAGGTTATTCTCTCCCTTGTTTGCATAGTTACACATACTAATTAATTAAATATTAATTATGCACAGTTAGTGGACTCTGTAATGCTTCATTTCCTGGGAATCACCTTTCCACCTCAGCCTCCTAATAGTCAGTCTCCATGCCTGCGTTGATATCACTGCTCAAACATGCAGGTATCTTGGCACCAGCAAGCACATAACATCCTGTAAGAAGGGGCCTCAGTAAGAAATGTTTTGAAAGTAAGGGAAACCTATGCAGAATGTTGCTTTCCATGATATACTGTAAGAGGCATTCATTAGGTGGCTGCGTAGAAATGGTCTTCATCTGGCAATGGTGGTGGCTCTAGATAAGAAATGAATATTTGATCAGTCTGCTAGAACTTGGTCATAGGATCTATACTGCAAGATACATGTTTGGATTTATTCAGCTCGCATGCAATACCAAACGTGAATGGAGAAGTGGTATCTTCGCAAGGCTTCGGGCTAAACCCCCAGTGATCCCTGAGTTGGCATGGATGCACATAGCAGTGTGCTAAGATCTGTTTGCTCCTTGCAGCTACCCCCACATGGGCCAGTGGCACTGTGCTGTGTGTGCCAAGCTGTCTTTAATTGTGCATTACTCTTATAGAGCAGCCTGTCTGTGCCTGTCTTTGAGCACCCGCGGCTTTCTGTAGGGAAAACAAATCAAAACAAAACCCATTCTTTACACAGACATCTGAAACACGAGGGAAGCCACTCATTTAAATTGGGTACTTAGACAGTATATTCACAAGTCTGCTGGATATGTGATTAAGAAGCAGGCAGTGACACAGCACTTGAGGCTAAATGAGATTTCTGCGTCATTCTCAAATAGAACTGGCATATTTGTGGTCCTTCTGTTTCCAAGTTACAATTCCACTTTCCCATGCTTGCTAATTCATCTCTCATTTACCTGAATATAGCTGAGAGTCATGGAGTTCTGAGTGGCCGATGATGTGGACATGTACAGCTATTTGGTGGCCTCAGAGATGAATCTGAAGTCTGTACAAGCCATTGCTATTTTTTGTTTGTCTGTTTTCACATCGCAAACAAAAGTTTCCCCTCCTTACTCTCTTCCCTGTTTCTCCCCACATCCACTCTTTCTTCACTGCTTCTCTTCAGATACAAGCAGGCTTCCCATGGACATCAGCCAGCCATGGTATGTCAAACTGCAGTGATACTAGGCTTCTCCTTCTCTATTAAGGCTGGATAAGATGATCCAGTGAGAGGAATGGGTTGCAAAAGCAGGCACCAGATTGGGAAGCATCCCCTGCTTTATTTGAAATGTCACAAAAATACCAGCTTACACAATGATAACATATATGCTGAAGGCCTAGATCAGTCCCATGCAGGCCCACGTGTTAGTCCTTGTGAGCCCCTATGGGCCAGGTTAGTTGGTTTGGTTTCAATTTGTGTGTGTGTGTGTGTGTGTGTGTGTGTGTGTGTGTGTGTGTGTGTGTGTGTGCTGTCCTTAACCCTTCTGGCCCTTACAAGCCTTCTTGCCCCTCTTCTATAGGGTTTTCCAAGCTTAGCCTAATGTTTGGCTGTGGGTCTCCACATCTGTGTCCATCAGTTGCTGGGTGAAGCCTCTCTTATTACAGTTGGGCTAACACGAATTGGTTCCGGCTGGTGTGGCCTGCCTCATTATTCTTTCTTGCTCCTGATTTAGCTTAAATCCAGAAGTTAACAGAATAAAGAAGAGAGGAACCATCCAAACTTAAGAAAAAAAAAAGCCTCTGCAATGAGTTAGCAGACGTGTCAGGCATGTTCCCTTCCTCAGTATGACTTCCTTATCTTCGACTCTCTTTCTGGAATTCCTTACAAGAGGGGTGAGCAAAGCTCACCTTTATGAGAAAAAAACTGCTCTTCGGCCACACACAGTCACTGTGTCCTCACTCATAAACTTACAATTCTGGTCTCGTGGGTTAACATCACTTCTGCCACATACAGTCATTGACCTCATTTCTAGACTTAAAATCCTGATCCTGTTGGTTGGCATCAGGACTCACGACCGAGTGGGGCTTCTTTTACTTTCAGTTTCAAATGGCTTTCTAAATGTTTTGGGCAGTATTTTTTTTTTTGTACGTTTCATGCAGTATGTTTTGGTCATTTTCTTCTCCCCCCAATTCCTACCTTCCTTCTGGATTCTTCCCACTCATCTACCTGCCTAACTTTATGTTCTTTGTATTGTTTTTCTCTCCAAAGCAACAACAACAGAAACAAAAAACACAAAACTCACACACACACACAAACACACACACACACAAACAAGAGAGACAAAGATCAAAATAAGCAAGCAAAACCCCCATAGAACAACAGCAACAAAATGCGCAAGCAAAGGAAAAAATATGAGACAAAAAGTCTACAGAAATATTATTGAGGTTTTTGTTTGTCTGTTTTGCTCAGCTACTTTTGGGCATGGAGCCTTCCCTGAAGTATTGTTTATATACTTGGTGAGACGCCACTAGGCAAACTGGCGTTTTTCTCTGCCAGCAAGCATCAGTTAGCTTCCTGGTTAGATGAGGGAGCCTGCATCCTCTTCCCCTTTCCAGTGCTGTGAGTCTGTCTCCCTTGAGCCAGTGCATCAGTCCTGTTGGGTTCGGAAGGGCTGTTTCCTTGGTGTCATCCATCAGCTCTGGCTCTTACGATCTTTCTGCCCTTTCTTCTGCATAGATCCCTGTGCCTTGAGAGGAGGGCCTTGATGAAGATATCCCATTTAGGACTGAGTGCTACAGAGTCACTCACTCTCTGTACACTGTTGAGCTGTGCATTTCTGTGTTAGCTCCCATCTACTATATAGGCAATATCTATCTTTTTTCTATTTTTGTTTTTTTGTATTGTAGCCACTGATCTCATTACAGCAGAATGTTTTGAGCAGTCTTTTTATTGCTATTTTAAAAGGTCAGAGTTGTTTTGCCCCTGGCTTCTAGTCTCAGGTTCTTGGTCAGCCAAGCAGTGTCAGGTAAGTATCCCATCTCATGGAGTGAGCCTTAAGTCACATCAGATATTGCTTGGTTCCTTCCACAAGGTTTGTGCCACCATTGCGCTCGCATATCTTGTATGCAGGGTGCCATTGCAAGCTCAAAGAGTTTGTAGCTGGCTTCTCTATCGGTAGCATTCCTGTACCAAAGATGTTAGATAGCAGATGTGAAGGCTCTATCAAGTCTCCAGGTTGACTTCTCCATGATCAGTTTGTTCTGTAAGTGTTGTCTGTAGCAATGAGACCTTGCTGTCAGATTGTGGAGGACAGCGTATAGTTATAACGACAGTTCCCAGATTCCGTGGGCAGTATCTTATACCTAGAAAAAAATTAAACATAGTATTTATTCTTCTCTACCTCTCACATGGTTCGGAATAATGAATTGAGAGCCCCTGTCAAGACTAATTCATTTGTGCCTACAAAGTCTAGTCAGAAAGGATGATGCTTTCATAGACAAGGAAATGGTTCCTTTACATCATCAAGAGAATCAACACCTAGTATTGCTTAACAGCTTTGTGATACAAAAGATGCCTGTAGTATATAGTTTCATGAGTTTTCTGTCTTACATGCATTTGCATGTGGTGCTGAGTTAAATCCTACAAGGCTCTACAGGACATTGGTGAGTCTAATAAGAGTATGTCTCTATTATGGCTTTAATAATTCTGGCTGGGTAGCACTGTATGCATCTATATTCATCATAGGAAGAGTGCATGTAAGAGAAAAGATTACCGGCCTTGCTTACCTTGACATCCCTCCTAGTCCTGCCGTAATGGCTTCTGTATGCTAGCCACCCACTAAATGTTGGTTAAACTAATTAATTAAGCAAGGGAAAAAAGCAGATTCAGCTAACTTCTTAGCGGCATCTACTCAATTCTTAAACCTGATGTTGCACTAGAGAATGTGGCTTGAATACATAATCAAGTAGAGATTTTAATTTGAATTTATCTCCAAGCTTAACTTTCCCTTCTCAGCGGAAGAATCTGCCCAAGAGACAGCATCACAGAGTGTTCATCTTAAAATCCATCTCTACTGTAATAAGATACCTGAAAAGGAGCATGGGGTGACCTCACCAAACTTGATTAACTTTTTGGGGGGATGAATATGCTTTCCTTTAAAACAGCACTGACAGATTTTTACCAAAACATTTTAGAATTCCTTAGAAGCTAAGTAATTTATTCATTAAAGTAGCTTTGAGATATTGCAGAGAACATTGAAATATGCAGCCTTGTGTTGTAGTCTGTTGCAGTGGATGGAATGCACACTTTGATCATACTATATTTTATTTAATGAGTTTCTGGAATTCCCACGGGGGTTGGGTAGGTAGGCAGGTGTGTGTGGTCTGTAATTAGACAGATTTATAGCTAAAAATTGGAGACTACTGTAGTTGTTGAAGTTACAAGGTACCCATGAAATGATGAGAAGATGGGTGAGTCTGGGTAGTCGGAAACTTTGATCTCATACGAAATAAGAGACATTCTTGCCAGTGTGTACTTTGTGCTGGGTCACTGGCAGAGGCTGATACACGTGACAGCATTTGGTCTGGTCCGTGCAAGGGTGATGCCATGGAGTTATGTGAAACCACAGTTTCCGAGATGAAGTATGCTCATCTGCCAGCTGAATTACTACAGTGCTCTATTTACTGGACAATAACCAAAGAAAGAAGGGACCTAAATGTCTCCTGTGCCTAAACCACCTTTTCCATGCTTCTTCTCTATTAACTGCCATGAAGGAGAAATGCTCTGAAAAAAATACATATTTTTTTTGTTGTTTAAAATCTTTGCCACCCTGTTTTATTTTCCTTTGATATGTTGAAACCTTTAAGGGATTATTCCATGATGCAAATTTGACTGATAACTCTCTTCTTGTCCTTAATATCAAAGTTGCAAACAAGACGCCTTTGATGTTGTTGCTCTGGGGGATAATTTACTCAGAAAATGAACTAGGATTGTTTTCCTATGCTGTCTGCTTATTGTGAGTTCTACTGTATTCTAGAATTCAGAATATAAAATCACAGTCAGTTCTGTTTAGTGAATATGAAGGCGATAGTGATTTTTCCAGGAAAGAAAATAGAAAAAGAAATTCCCAGTGAGAAAAACAGATACTCAGATCACGTTGTGAGTCATTTGTTTTATTTTTGTTTGTTTGTTTGTCAACCAATTTCCTTCTAAAATATATACCTGGGCTCTCTATTCTTTATAACTCATTAGGTTTTTTGATCAGATGAAACGCTTGGGTTTTGCTCAGTAATCCTGTTTTTAGCACTCAGCCATAATGTGCACAACATGAAAACCTCACAGGGGAAATATGCAATGGCTGCCTGAAACTTGGGAATAAGAATATAAACAGATCTATCGCCAAGAACTTATTGTCATGATTCAAGCATGGGGTGAACACCCTCTTCCAAGGCCACACATGCTCTTCATCAAGATTTTCTGGGACTATTTCCTCTCTCCCTTGTACCTAACGGACTGAAGCATGTTAAAAACTCAGGGGTCTGTAGACACAAACCCTTTCGAGATCACTGCTCTGGAATTACTCTTGAGAACATGTAACCTTGGCAAAGGTTACTCACCTCCTGCCCTGGTCTCCCTAGGATTCAGTGAGCGAGAGCAGGGCTCTTCTTCATTTGTCTTTCTCAGAGGGAGTCGTAGCCAACACTGCTGTCTTCATCTCACATCCCACAGAATTGATTGTACAGCTCCAAGTACGCGAGTTCTCTATGCTTTGCATATTGTATACTTCCTGTTAGTTAAAAAAGACAATAAGAAAGGGAAAGCCTGGATGACTCATTGGCACAACAGTGGCCGCACATGCAAGGCCCTGGTCGATATCCATGCTGTGTGGGGAGTCAAGCCAGCTGAATTTGCTCATTTTCCAACTACAGCAAATGTTAACCCTTAATTTAATTCCTGGACAAGTTTAATTTAATACAAATGGATATTTAGAATGTTAAGACAGCTTAATAGACATAATACCTAGAGTCAAAAAAATATGCTGTATATTTGCAAAGCTAATCTCTGTATATTTTGAATTTTATAACATTGACAAGCATGTTCTGTAAACTTAATGTGATTTTGATCATCACATGGAATTTTTAAGGATTTTACGTCGTAATAGCAGTAAACAAAAGATGTTAAAAGTGCAAAATATATGATCCATATTCTTACCAGATCCATATTCTTACCATTATAGAGGTTTTGTGCAGTTATTTATTGATTACAGAATTGCTTTTTTAATTTGGGGGATTACAGTATAATTACATAATTTCTCCCTTTCCTACCCTCAAAGTTTTATATATCAAATATAAGCATATTTTTATTTCTCTATAATATATTGTAATACTGAAACAAAATATTAAACATATAGAAGTCTAATGAAGTGGACACTTGTGGTATAGTTAATAGTACTTACTTGTTAACACTAGCTATCTTTTCTACATATACGATTGAGTCTTACTGCCATCCTTTCAATAGATCAAACAGACAACTTCAGTGATGTTTATTTTTTTTAGCAATTTTATTGTTAAAGAAACTGAGGCAATCTGTGGAGTTATTTTTAATTGTTTAGTCATTTGTATTACATAATAATTTTATCTCAAATAAATGTTCTGAACCCTGAATAGTGTTAGAAATTATACACAAGACATTGTTTCCTGGTCTATGGTTCTTGGTCCCTTCTAGACCAAGTTAAGAAGGCAAAATTGAGTTACCTATGATTTAAATGTTGTTGGGTCTTAATCCAGTATGTCTGGGTCACCAAGTGTGAAAATGAGCTCCTATGTGTGTGCCAAGAGAAGCCAAGATTGTAGAGATAATCAGATGCATTTCCCAAACAGGCCAGTTTCAGTTGATGAGATAATGACTTTACCTCTCACCTTAATCTTCACACAAAGGATGCCAAATGTTAACCAATCTGTTTTTTTCAGTCCTGATCTCTCCATGTTTATAAGGAAAATACTTGAAATGGACAGTCATTCTCTCTCTCTCTCTCTCTCTCTCTCTCTCTCTCTCTCTCACACACACACACACACACACACACACACACACACACACAAGGTAGGGTAGGGTGGTCTGCTTTTTCTTCCTCGGTGTTTCAGACTAACATGTTGAGCTCAGGCTGCTAGAACACTCTATTTAGTGGCAGGAAGTGCTGCAAGATTTTAAAATCAAAATAAAGCTGTTCAGTTCATTAAGCTAAGTTGCTGCAATCTGTCCTTTGACATGAGTCTCTAAGTACTGAGATTTCTTAGGACAAAGATGTGTTTGAAGAGGTTTCTGTCAAAATGTCATCTCTGGGTTGTCGAATGTTTACTCTGTTGTGGGAAAATCCACACAACAATTTGTCACCGTACCAAGACCTCAGTGTTGGTCTGTATTTGTAGAAGGAGAGAAAATCCTTATACTTTTTTTTTCATTTTAGTTGTTAACTCAAGATTTTAAAAGAAGAAGCAGAAACCTACCTTGTACTTTAGAAAAAGAAATAATTACTGTATTTAGTAAAATCAGAGAACATTTCTAGAAAAAATTATCTTTATTAATTGGTTGTTATAAGTATTATGCACATTATTAAACTCGTTTGGAAGCATATTTTACAACTGACTGGTACCTGGTGCTTCTCCTCCAGAACTGAATCTTTCCCTTTGGTAACCGCGTGTCTTGTCTCTGTTTCTCTGCCTGCTGCTATGATAAAATCCTTTGACCTGGACAACTTGAGGGAGAAAGGTTTTCTTCTGACTTGTATTTTAGGCTACCTACCATCCAGCCATCATGGATTGCCACAGAGGCAGGGGCTGGGGGGAGCTGTTTTTGTATTGCCCACCCCCAATAAAGGACAGAGAGCCAGGAACATGTGCATGTTGACGCTCTACTCACCTCCCCACTAAGGATCCTCTTTCCAGGGAATGGTTGATAAATGTAATCAAGATAATCACTCATGCTTGCCCAGCTGCCCATTCCTAAGTGGCTCCAGGATTTATCAAGTTTGCCATGAGCAGTTAAACCCCTCCCACTGACTCTGGAGACACTAGTCTGCTGTTTAGTAGAGAGGAATACGGACCTAAGATCCATTAAAACCTAGAGAAGGAAACCAAATCCCAGTGTTCCCATACTTAAAATGTTTGTGTATTGCCTATCTTATATTGTTTAAGGAATAAGGTGATGGATGGAAATTACTTAGAAAAATGCCTCAGCACTGCAGATATGGCTGTCAGTGAAGTACCTGATGCATGTGTCCCCAACACCAATATAAAAAGCCAAGAGTGACAGCATGCTTCTGTCACCACAACAAGAGGAGGTGGAGTCATGATAGTGGCTGGGGCTCAGTGGCCACCTCAGTCTAGCTGAATCTATGACTTCAGGGTTGCTGAAAGGCCATGTCTCAGTATAAGACAAAGGTGGAGAACCACCATCTAGGGAAGACACCTGAAGTCCACTTTAGGCAGGAAAATGAAGCCCTGTGACTTTGACCTTTTTAGTATCGTTCACAATACTATCTTTCCCAATATAAGAACTAGCTACGATTCATAGGCACAGCAATACATATTGTACATAATTTTTGCAGCGTCTTCCAGACATGATATCAAATTACTTGATAGGAAAAAGTACCCTTGCAATTGTGTCTACTTCAACAGCAGAGGAGAATCTGAAGATTAAATGTAACAGTTCAAAGTGCCAGACAGGTTACCTTCTTTGACCCTGGATATAATTTAAGCCCCGTCTACGTTACACTGTGTGAAGTATGAACTAATTGTGCATGTCGTAGCAAGTTCTCCAGAAAGAGAGGGAGCTACCTTTCCCCTATTTGAGAAGAGAGACGGAAGGAAAAGCAGAGAACTGGCCTCTGGAGAGCTGTGTGCAAGTTTGCTTCTGGCTAAAAGTTAATGATCAATCGCTTGTATTTTCAGCTCTGAGTCCTCAACAAGCGGCTAATGCAGCTTCTCTCTCTCTCTCTCTCCAGGTAACTTTAAATTTTTACAAACTGTGCTCATGTTAGCTCTGGTAGATTATAGGCTTGGCTCCTTTTTATTCTTTTTATTTGATTGCCTGTTTTAAGTTTATTGAAAGACAAATTAAAACTTATAAACGTTGCCTCGTGGAAAAGTACTTGAGTTCTGAAGTGGACTGAGCTGAGGCTAATGAGAGATTGTGTGCTTGGAGTAGCAAAGAGAATTTTTAAGTGTTCTATAAAAGTTACTATTGTGGTTCTCAGCCCTCCTGGATGAATATGAATTAGCCATAATTATTTCAAAGAATACCTCACATTATGTAGTCTGCCAAGTTTTGGTTTGGAGGAAAGATTTTAAATCATTGGTACTGAAGTTTTGAAAATAAGAGTGGTTCTTTACTCAGTAGAATGTTATTTGTATCTTCTCTTATATAACAATAAAGTGCCTTTTTTTTCTTTTTATATAAGTCACTACATCTCAAAAATATGTGCACTTGGCTAAAAGATAGTAAAGCAAATGGCGTGAGTTTTGGTATGTAGGTTAGGCAAGTTGGCTCCCAAATGTCTGGCTGCTTGAGTGGGAAGAGGAGGTGGTCCCACAGCTCAGGTTCATGCAGAACTCCTGCACAGTATTGAGACTACAGACCTTTGCTCATTCCATGTCCAGGCTCAGCTTGCTGCTGAAGGTGATGTTGCCTACCCTGCACAGCTTCAGACTTACTAATTCTGCATTAAGTGTTCTTCACTAAGGGCACATTGTTACACCCTAGGAGCATAGGTTAGATAAATTTAGAGAGAATTTTTGTTGCTAAAGTGTCTGCCTACTGGTATCTTCTTTATTCAACAAACAGCCAAGGCCAGGAAAACTTGCGTTGGTTGGATTTAGACTCAAACCGAATGAGCTCTGTATAGCATCGACAGCTAGATAGTTTTGGGATGCAGCTGAAATTAAATGTCAGAAAATGACTGATGATTTTGCAGTTGAAATTGGGAGATGGTAGGAACACAGACGAACATCCATTTTATACAAGTGTCCAGAGAGGGGGCATGAAGGCATTATGGCCAACACTGGAACTCGAACAAAGCCTCTATTCATGGGTGACAGGCAGAGTTGGTGGTTTATTAACCTGCACTCCTGCTGGTTTTGAAAGGGAAATCATATTTTATTTCCTAACCAGTTTCCATGTTAAAACCAAGCTGGCAAAGCCTCCCCAGCTAAAGAGCAGGGGGCCGGTGGTATTTTCCGGTTCACCGTTGGCATTGGAACTGTGTTTGTCTGCTTGACTTGTAAAACTGGATTCTGTGTATTTGCTTAGTTTTGTTTAAGTTCTCCATACAACCTGAGCTTCTCAAAATTAAAAATAAGAATATCCACAGTCGTTTTGATGCACTCCAAAGCAATGTTGAGGAGTGTGTAATGTATAAGTTCTTAGAAAGCGGAAGATTCCTTAATTAAGGAAATTTAAGAGAGTATTAGAACAAAGTGTACAGTGATATATGAATATTTACATAAAGCTTGTCATGATCCACATATAATCTGAAAAGAGAGTCATTGTTTGTCATGATGCTCTAAACTATTTTAGATTCTAAGGAGTAAGACTGAGTGTGTGTGTTTGTGTGAGTCAGTGTCTATGTTGTGTGTGTGTGTGTGTGTGTGTGGTATAGAATGTTTGCAGCATGCTTGGGAGTGTTCAGGTACACATTCACGTTCATGCGTTTTGAGGCAAGCGCAGAATTTTAGAGCATTTTCTTCCTTGATTTCCACCTGCCTTAGTGTCCTGAGAGGTCTCTCACTGGACCGGAAGTTCGCTATTTCAACTAGGCTGGCTGGCCAGTATCCTCATAGAATCCTCCTGTCTCTAACTTTCCATGCCAAGGTTACAGGCACAAAGCCATACCGGTTTTAAACATGAACGTTTAAAATGCAGGGATTCCATTTCTGGTCTTCATGTTTGCAGACCAAGCCTTCTTACCCAGTGACATTGGGGGCCCCTGAGTACCAGTCTCAGTACTCCTCCAGGATTCAAACAGGACTGACACAAGCGGAAACTTGCTGGGGAGCGGGATCTGAGGGGTAAAACTAACTGACCTGGGCATGTTTTTTCTGCGTGCTTTTTTTTTTTGTTATTCTTTAGGGGAGGATGAACATAAGGGCATAAGGGCATTAGGGCATAAGGCTCAAGCATAAGGGCAAAACACAAGGGTAAAGGGTAAAAAGGGGTGATCTCCACAGCGCTTTCAGTTTGCATAGGTGTACAGACAAGTTAACAGTCTCATAGGTGGTAACAATAATATCAATCATGCATTTCTATAGAGTCACAAGAAATGAGTGTATCTGGTAAGGAGGCACGTTAGTCTCAGAGGGAGTGCGGCTGGGAAGTTCCCCTGCTGTTGGGAACACAGTGTTAGTAGCTATACTAATATGCAGTCTTGATTGCATTAGAATCTAGCTGGTTAGGTTAAAAGGAATCTCCTCTGGGGACCTTGGTGTTGATTCCAACAGGGTGACCAGGGAAGGATTTTTCTCTCTAAAACTAGTTTCAGCAACTTGGGCCTTTTTCCTGAATTAATAGTTAATTTCCTGGGCTATGATCCTATGTTAGGTGAAGCCAAGGTGAAGGGTAAATACAGAATATTGACAATTTGCTAAGGCAGAGCAGACCAGTAGATCACACCTTCCTGAGTCTGCTGTTAGAGCAGACATACCACCTCCTGTATGAGACTCCTTTCTTATCAGTGACTACTGTCAATAAAGTTTGTGGGGGACATTTTTATATAGATTTTTTTTTTCCCAGTGAGAACAAAGGCTTTACTGAATCCTTTATACACATTGGCTTCATGGTATCTGGTTGCTCTACAGGAAAAGTCAGAATTATACAGGGCTACATATGACACTAGAGAAGTGAGAAACGCCATGATTTCACAAGATTTTTACAGAATTGACAGTGACTTATCCAAAGGACAGATGTCCCTGTAGCTCAACAAAAATGGGTTGCTCCAAGTGGAGTGTCTGTATCCACGTCCTATGGAACGTCCAATAGATCAATAGGTCTGTCCGCTGTCCATTTACTGTGTAGTACTTGTGGGCTCACTGTGACACATCGACACTTATCTCCAGCATGAAGTTAGGTTTTTGAGCTTAAAATACTCACATTTCTTGTTAAAGCTGCAGAATACTCTTCAATGAGCACATAACAAACAGTGCCTACTCTGAAGTCTTGGGCCTTTTCGTGTTTACTGCTCAGTGTCCTATCAGGAGTTTACAAACCAAGGTGCTGTCACAAAGCATATCTCTCTTTCCCTAGCCGATTATTAGACGTGGATACACTGAACTATGCAATGTTGAAGTTTGTCAAGGTTCTCATAGATGTTAAATAACACAGATTAAATAACGTAAGATTTCAGATTCTCTTTGAACCATCCCCCCCACCCCAATCAATAGAAAAGCAACTGGGGATCAATGCCAAGGAGTTTGAAAACCTTAACAAGGTGCTGGCTTAACAAGCACCGACTTTTTAGATCATGGATTAATCACATGACCTGTGAGGATCTCCCCCCACCGCCATTATATGAGCTATAAGGGGGGCTGTAGCAGTTGTCATGCTTGCGCAGGCCAGCTCACATGATCCTGGTATGTGAAGCATTTTTCCTCACATTCCTAGGTCTGCCCAGACACAGCTGCACTAGGTGGGTGGCTTAGACCAACTGAAAACTCTTCTCATTCCATTTTGGATGCTGAAGTAAGGTATAGGCTGGACTGCATCTCCTTATCTCCTCCAGTTCTTGCCCACAGACTTAGGAACCGGCCCACTTCTTTTAAGCAAGTATATCTGCAGCAGCCTTGTGCCAGAATTTACATCTAGAATACCCGGGCAGAGTGCCCAGTGTATTAAATACTTGTTTCTTGCTTGACTTTTTGGGAGGCGATGGAAGCTTTGGGAGGTATGGGTTTGGAGATGTTTGGTTATAGTAGATGTACCCTTAAGGAGATAGTGAGATTATCAGACCCCCTGCTCTTCCTGACTTTACCTCCCCAGACAGGAAGCGAATCATTTTGTTCTCCTGTACACAATGTATTCCCACAAGCCCAAGGACAGGGCTAACCGATCATGGTCTACATTTTCTAAAGCTGTCAGACAAAACCTGTTTCCTGTCTTTGTAAGTTGGTTATTGGGTTGTTTGTGAAATAGAAAATTTACTAGCATACTTTGTTTCCAAATAATAACACACTACAAAGAAATAGGAGTTAAGGCTGCTTTTCAGGAATGTAATATAATCAGGAGATTCCCTGACCTTGATCCTACTCACCCCCAGATACTTTCATCAGATCCCAGTGTCTTCAAGACCAGCCCTTCTAACATCAACCTGTAGTCTACATCCTATCAAAATAAATGGAGAGACACAGAGTAGAACTTGTGTTCCAGAATAAAATTCTTCTCACCCTGTGGACTTCTGAAGCTTTGGTATCCACTGTCATTAATTCCAGACTAAACTAGGGAGAGAGGAAGGAGGAACTCTTCATTCCAAAAAAGAGGAGGTGGAAAGAAAGGTTTCCTAGTATAGCTAAACAAGCTCACAGCCTGGTAGAGCAAATTCCAGAGCAAATGCCAAGCCTGGCACCCTGTCTTTTGAGCCCCCCACGGGCGATGTGAGCCCAAGCCCAGGGTCTCAGCCCAGGGTCCCAGTCCAGGGTCTCAGCCCAGATCTCAGTCCAGGGTCCCAGCCCAGGGTCTCAGCCCAGGGTCCCAGCCCAGGGTCTCAGCTCAGGGTCTCAGTTTTGCTCAGTCCTGCACCTCAGTTCCATGTACCATCAGTCCTGTTTCTTCCATCCTTGAATTCAGCTCTGGCCCCTCCTTATTCTTGGGTGTGGTTCGTCTCTCTCAGAACGAGAAGACGCCGTCCTCTGGTAGCACAGCCGTAGATCTGCCCGCAGAGTTCTTCTTTTAGTTTTCGGTTTGTTTGTCCTTTTGCTTTTGTTGCTTTCAAGACAGGCTGGCAATGTTTCTGATGTT